GGCTATGAAATTTTGTTAAACTTGAACGGAACTACGGAACAGGTGCACGAAGATTACACGTGAGCTAAGTTGTACTAGCGTGGTCAGGTTTTGTTATACCCTTCCTAAACATTTTGTAGATTCTTTTTTAGATGCGTCCGTTCTTGAAGGAGGTAGAAAAATTCTCGGCAAGTAGAAGTTTTTTTTACTTTGAGCTACAAGAAACTAGACAGAACACATCGAGGTCTGCGAAATACGAGTTTGTCGTCAAATAGCTTTTTAGAGAGAACGCCCTCTTTCCAATTCGTAGTTGAGGTTCTATAATCCGCTATCCTCAACAAGGAAGTTTGCGATTAAGTTGCCTTAAATGCAGCAAGTGAATGTAACAACTATAAATTACGTACATTACAAATGATTGCCATAATGATTTGTATGCCAATAATCTCAATTTTATTGCTTACAACTTTAACTTTCTGCAGCTATGCTAGTACCAACCGCATATTTTCTTGCTTCTACATTTTCCGAAAACAAACCAAGAAAATCTTCCATATTTGCCGTCAGTTTCAATCCCGAGAGTTTACACATCTTCCACTTGAATGACAGAGTAAAACCTTCTTGCTGTTTCTTCTCCACTTTGTATAGTTTTCATATCTGATGAACTAGTTCGTTGCCGACATAATTTTCATGGGAAATCTAGGACTCAGAGAAGATTATAGTCCGCCGAATTATGGGTTGATTTTACTTGTTTACAAATTCTTTCCAGAAACTTTCCATTAAAATAAGCATAAGCAAATTTACGTGATTTCCCACAGACTCCTCAATATACCTCTATATACCACCTTCTTTGATTGGCATAAGCCCAACTATCCGAGAATCCGTCTCAGGTGCCGCGCCTAACCCAATTTACTCTCTAGTGGGTAAACGTATCGTGTAGTGAAACGTATGTAGTCGATGGAATTGCAGAATAAGGCGCATGATCAACAGTTGTCTGTTACTGAGTTATTCGCTACAAAATAGCTGTCGATGAGTAATGCTCCAGAAGGTGTTATAAAGCTTGTCTGGGTTAGATTGAATTTGCGAACAATTTGTTCTCTACGAGGAACCAAATGAAATTAGTCTACTCAGGCTAACAAGGTGAATTAGTGTGTATGCTACACCGTGTTCGTTCGTGGTCCACCTTTGCCGAGCTTTTTTGCGATTTTTATTGTTGAATTATTAATTTATCCTAAAAAAATACTTATGTAGGCCAATTTGAAAAACAATGACCATAAGTTATGCGCTATTTCATTTTTTGAATCTGTGAAAACCTTATGAACTAAATCAAGCGTCGTAACTTCTGCTTCTAATCAAGGGGAGCCAGCGATCTCATATTCAGTCTGCAAATTTCTGTTTGCTTATTTCTTACTTTGGCTTTTGATCATAACCTCTAAAGCAGCTTTTTTGGAAGAGCAGGTGGAAAAATCACGCCATTGTTTTCACGCGTCAAGTGCTAATAAATTTGCTTTCTGGTGAACCATGGGGCAAAGGAAATTACGTCACAATTGTACTGTTCCAAGCTATAAAACCGGATAATGTGAAGATAAACCTTGAATAATCGAAAGTAGAGAATCAAGAATTTCGCGCTCTCTCAGTTTTTTCCTATTTTTACACGCTCTTTTCCTTTTAAGGGCGTGGATGCAAAAATGAAATGAAAAAATTTTGGTGGCTGTTGGAAAAGATTAGTCTAGAAGCACGTCCGTTGACTTGCTGCCGTTGAGTCACTGTAACATACAGTAAGTATTTAATTGCTCTTCGAGCTGAAGCAAACCCCATTCGAAAATCATCAAAACTTTGGCAAAGCATTGGTAATTTGACCGATTTCATCACCTAACGTTTTTATAATGACCCTAGCAATGTCTTCCTTGCTCTTCATATGAAGTTTTCAAGATGGCATTTGGATCTTTTGCAAAAAAAGGCGATTGTGACATGCCACCTCCTACTATTTCCGTGATTTTCGCAAGAGTAGATTATACAACAACGTCTAAAAGTAACGAGCCTCGTATTCTTAGATATTTTTTGGAAGCAAATAGCATTGGTCAAGATCTCAATAAGACTCCTCTTCGTAGAGGAGGAGATATTGAGGATATCTGTAACTCAGCTAATACTTTGAAAATCAAATATTTTTATGAGAATGCTTCAATTCGTATTTTCAAGGCTGTTTTAACTATACAAAGTTTGTACTGCATTTTCCGCGTAGCTCAAAGCGATTGTGTTGTGGTTCAGTGGTTTTCCGGATCATTTCTTAGTGAATAGCTTAAATTAGTAAGTAAATAAATATGTGAATAAACATTGGTGTGGGAGTGAAATTCATCAGCAGGAATTTACAGGCTGCAGTTTTACAAGCGGAGAAAAGAGAGAGGATTTTACAAGTAAACAGTGTTATTTTAATGAAAAATTTTCGCCTTAAGTGGAGGTAGAGATTTCTTAATGATATACCCTTTCGTGTTCCACAGCACGCGTATGTTTTGACACTATCATGGAATTCTACTTAGGCTCTTGAATTTTTTCAAACCTATATGTGCGTTTACGAGAAAAACTCTACCCTTCACTTGTTTTTTTGGTTGCTAACTCCATCTATTTTCTGTCCGGTCTTAAACAGCTTCTCCTTTTCAAGCGCCCATGATGGCTTGATATCCGAACTTTTGCAGCTCTCCGAGCAATTTCGCTACTTGTAACCGTAGTTCAAAAGATTAAATGGCGATTGCTTATTTCGCTTTCGCAGTTTGCATCTTCTCAAAAGCTTCTTTGTTAAACTTCATGAAGTATTCACTCTCACTACGCCATCCCCTTCGCTTTGGCCTCTGTTTTGACTCCGCCCTTCTCGGAAAATGAAGACCCACAGAACAAAACCCCCAGCAATGTATCTCTCCTTTCCTCCGTTCAAATGAGGACGAATTTACTGTATTTATAGTCGTGAAAATTTATCCCTACCTTGAAGAAAAAGTTTGAGTGCTCTGAAGAATGTTATGATTGATATTATTCTGTTTTACCTGATGTATGGCTGGCTCTGAATGGCCTCAGCCGTTAATCTTTTGAACATTTCTTTGACGAAGCCATCATTTTCACAAAATCTAGCTCATTCTAAGAGATCACCTCCAGTCATGCATGTTTACATAATCCTAGGTACTTCATATTTTATTGAGAGTCACAGGAACTCCATGATCCTCATCACGAAAAGCGATTCCGCTCAACGTAGTTTCCAGATCTTTCGTTTATTTGTGTAGCCATTTGGATTTTATTTCTTATTGGATACAACAGTTTTATACAGAATGGTTTTATTACAAGTAGAGTTTGGATCACATAAGCAATTTCTTAGCATGCTCACTCTTTGGCCTATCAGAAGCATTTTTTGCTGAGCAATATTTAATTACAATATTATTTGTGACGACCGAACAGATGGATTTCTGCCCATAAAGCTTAAGAATATGAGATTTAACACAGCATTTGTTTCTCTTGTTTTATATGGTTGAAGACTGCTTTCAGAAATAGCTTGTTTTGTTTCCCCTAATATAAACAGCTAAACGGTTTTGTAATTTGGATCATTGCATTTTCTTTGGTGGTTTACATACTTAAAATCAAATGCAATATTTGGTCAAAAGTGACTAATAATAAAGTATATCCTAGTAAAGTTCAAGGAAGGGAAAACGATGTAAATGTCAGCGATTTTCAATCAATCCGAAACCTACGTTTCTACAAATAGTTTCTGCAATTTTCTCACTTTACGATGATTTTCTTACTCCGATGAATTTTTCTGAGCAGGCAACGATACTTGGTGACCCCGGCCATTCATAATGGTTTGTATATTCTTATATGTATATATAAGTAAATGCGCCTTTCAATGCTGGTTCGAAACTGTTTTCCATATCTGCGAAACGAGAACCTGGATGGAGTTATGATTATTTTTTCAAGAATGATTTGCCCTACTGCGGAGGGTGAAAATCTAATAAAAAATTTTCTTTCCTCTTCAAATGCTGAATATGATTTAGATAGGTATAAATACAACGTACACCTTTCAAGATTCTCCTTAATAGTTTCAAACGGTAAAACAGACCAAATTGAGTGATTTTGATTACCTAAAAGTACGCAAATTTTTTACGAAAAATGTTCATAACTGCCTTCACATAATCGTTTCGCAGATTTCGAGCACATATTTAGAATCAGCGTTTCGAGGTGCACCTTATGGTATACATCGTATACCAAATGGCTAGGGTCACCAAGTATCCTTTCCTTGTGAGTAGATCCCATTTTCTGCTATCAAGCCCTGAACCTTCGAGAGTTATATGTACCAGAGAAAACTTTTCATGAGTAAGTGTCCTATTTTTGGAGCCAGTAAATAATAAAAATCAAAAATTTGTGGAGCTTTTGTTCCAAATCGTCGCTTGGCTTACATATGAGCAAAAATCAACTAAAATGGTGGTATTTCATAATATGTCATCGATATAAGCTCAATAATATCGTGGTTCATACTGCTCACATGTTCATTCCGTGGTCACAGGTTCCTCATCAAGATATTCATAACCTTGAAATTACTACTTTGCTTTGACTCTCTCGTCACTCCCTGAATAATGCATGACACTTCGATTCAACACCAGATGCCATTCAAACTTCTACGTAAGTTTGATGGATGTACTTATAACTTAGGCTGTTTTACTCTTGTTTACTTAACTTCCGAAATTCAGCATGAAGTGGAAGAATTGTTCCTGTCCCTCATTGGTAAACTCATATCGTTCCTTATCCCATCTCCTATATTATACACCTAATTTTTTTCTGATCCGAAATCTCATGATGGACGTAAACGTTTCGAGTTTCTGAAATCCGACAAAATTGTCCATAATAAAAGCCAAAACCTTCACATCTCTACCTTTATTTTGCCTTGTATATGTGTTGCAGTTTGTTGATACAGCCGTGACAATCTTTATTTGCTTCTCTTATTCACGTTCGAATTGAAAATTTGTAGCCGACATCTGATTGCAGGATAATCTATGGAAGAGAATCTAACTGGAGCAGATTACACCGACTATGAATCAAATTTCACAGATTGCACTTATATAGTAAGCGGTTCATGACTCACGGTTCATGGCTCGTTCATAAATAACCTATGCAAGACCTTTTTTTTCAGGGTACGGACCATCTAGAGGTGAAGATCTACTTGATTGGGGTGTTCGCCACGTTTATTGCCATTCTTTCCATCATATTCAACACATTCTTCACTGTTGTGTTTCTGACTAATCATTCAATAAGGTAAAGTCCAGTTATGCTTGTTGCAACTGAGCTTTAGTCTTAGGAAAAGCAGGTTGCGATGAAATCTCCCATCGCGACGTTTTCATCGCGATAAAAGGCTGCAATATTTCAACTTTTTTCTAAATAAATAAAATGTACATCACTGTAATTTCAAAGCATGAAAATAATGTCGCAGATCTTGTAGTTTTAAAAGAGATTTTGTTTGTCCTTTCGCTACCTAATCATCAATCAAGCACGATTTTGATTTATGATTCAGATAATGATTCAAAAATACTAATTAATAAGGTGATAGAACTCAGAGCATACGTTTGGTTGGAAGAGATACGTAGAATTGCCAAAAGAGTTTTTCGACGGAAAAGAATGCCGTGAAATTGCAAACCCGAAATTCGTTGACCTTTTTTTTGTAAAAAACCTCAAACGTTACGAGAGAGGCGCTTGAGCTCTTTCTAACACTGGAAAAGATAGGAAACTGATGTTTACTTTTGAACTTTTTTTGCGAATCTGAGTTTTCCAGGAAATCACCCGTCTTTTACTTCGGTATTCTGGCTGTTATTGACACGGTAATGGCAGTGAACTATATCGCTCTGATGTCAATCCCGGTAAGTTTCCCCCCTGGAATACTACTATTCAATTGCCCTCGGGAGGCCATCTCCCTAACCATTGCGTCTAGTACGAGAGAAATTGGTTTGTACTAAGAGAATTGACGAAATTACAAACCCAAGATTTACTCTAAGTGCAGCCAGTGTCTATTTGGGACCCATTTATTCAGGAATTTAAGGGACATGAGCGATTTTCTGATAGAAGCGGAAATAAAGGGGTTAAGAGGGGTTATCCTTTCTTTTGGAAACCTTTCGCATCAGGTCGTTAAAAGATGGAAGAATTCATAAATGTGATGTGATGATGATGATTCGAAATGGACATTTTCGCTCTCAACTTTTTATTTACGCCTTTACAAGTGATTCATTGCTTTGAATCAAGTGAAACGTTAGTTGCTGGATCAAAGAGACCAGGACGCACCTACAGATGGAAATGCTAAAAGTTATTGGTTATGAGTTATTTACGGCTCATGAAACCTGAAAAACTGAATGGCATTCCCACACCGCTCATCAATCGTAGATATTTTGGAACTTGGCTTTGCACTAAAACTAAAGTGCGACTTTTTTGAAGAAAATCCTTTCCTCCACCAGCCTCAAGTTTCCTCGGATGTTAGCGAAAGCATAATGACGTTCATGCAACCTCAGTCTCAAGTGGAAGCTTCAAACAAAACTTTAAACCTAATGTGCGTAACAAGTCAACTTTTTATTGTTGTTTCTGACAACCTATAGCTTTCATGTTCCTTGAGAGAAGGAAGTTTCTCAGAACTCCCTTTATGAATGGAATTTTCAAGCTAGAAAAAAGTGCAAAGAGTGGGAAAGCGGAAGCAACTTTCTCCTTGCTTTGATTGTAGGGTTTTAGACCCTCACGAAAAGGTGTACATAGCCGTTTTCACACCCACAACAGATGATATCCGAAAGGGACATGAGATTGCATAAGCGAGGCTAAACTCTGTTGTTTTTCCTAACCCAAATTAGTCTCGATCTGATTTGTAAGAAATACCTTTGCCGTAATGAACATTATTACTAATCTGGATCTTTCAGCATGTTGCGTCTATGCGCCATAGCCCTTATTTTGCACACCAATATAGTTGTACCATTCTGTTTCAATCCGTATTCTTGACTGTAATGTGCCGGGAATTCCCGGGTCGCTTTGCTTTTTTCACGTTGGTAGCCGAACGAAAGGACTCATACTACTGCTCACACACCGGTAATAAAGCAAATTAGTCCGGTGCGCTTTTTTTGAGAGCTAAATCTTTGCATCTGCTAGAAATTAGTGTAAATTTTCTGATGTGCAAGCGTCTCGTATAATTGGATTAGGTTTGCATGAAATTTCTCTCGCACCACTCTCTGAAAAAAAACCTCTTCATGACCAGCCAATTGGCACACTTACAATTTTTTGGAGGAGGATTTGATGCGCCTCGCAACGGGCTATAAGCAACTTTCTACCGAAAACAAGTGTCAAAGATCGAAGTGAAAGAAATTGCCGAAGTTTCTGTCAACAATGAGCGCTAGAAATTTGAGGCGCCAATGTAAAATCCGAGGCATTCAATAGTATAAATTTTATGACCCGCTCTTTATAATCCAGTAAAGTTTGCGAATGTCTCTGCGCGATTTGAAAGAAAACGCCCATAAATGGAAAATAGCACTGAAAACCTCGTTTAATTTCAAAATTGTCGATAAAGTTCCATGATCTACTCCACAAAAAAAGGAAGGGTGTAAAATCATGGAGCTCAAAATGGAAAATGATAAGAGCCCTCTCACATGCCAAATAATTCTTGCAAGCTTTCTGGAATCTTGCCAAATACTTCCATGTCAACCTAAATGTACAAAAAAAAGAGTTCTGATAAATATGAAAAGACGCCCATGCCATTTTCCAGGGAACACTAATTCATAACGCCGTAAGCGCCTTTATGTCGTAAGCGTTTCGAGGAAGTCAGCCCTAAGCACTCTTGTTGTGTAATTGTGACATGTGCTTTACTTTTGTTTTGGTCTGCGCCATTTGCAGCAGGAAATATGTGCTGTTAGTTTCTTTATGGGGACACCTAAAGTGAGCGCTTATTGCACTGTATCATCTGAATTCTGGGCTTAGACTGAAATTTATAACCCGCGAGATAATAGGTGGTGATGGATGATGAACGGCAGAAATATTACAGGCTGCGCTTTCACTGACTCAAAACTCTTACAACCCTTTTTCCATGGGGAATTGCTTAACAATTTAATATTCACAATTTTCATTACTTTGATATTCTTTATCTTCTCATCTAAACTTTGTGCTAAGATTCATTGACTTTTAGGAAGTTATTTAGAACAGAGAGCATAGTAATTGAAACTCCTAATATTTCTACATGGTGGCCTTTGAGTATGCAATTATAATTGAACGGTGCTAATAAACAAATATGCATTTATACTCAACACATCCTCACCAAAATCATCACACGAAATACATTATATACATTAGCACTTTCTTCACTTACCAAAAGCGAACTTGTCTATATTGCGATGAAAATGTGTTTTGCTCCCAAGTCGCTCTCTGAACTTCGGATACCCCTGTCTCATTTAATCCTTGAAACTTTTAGACGATTCGCCTCAAAAAAATGTCATGAATCAAGAATTTCTGACAATGACACCTCTTTCCAGGTATATATGGATTACTATCACATCTTGCCGGTCTATTACTTATTCCTTTCGTACTTCCGCGTGATATTGATGGAGAGCAACTCAGCGATGTTCGCATCAATGCTTCTTATTGTGCTAGCCACGACGGAACGACTGCTACGTACATTTCATGGCGCCACGATACTTAAAGCAAGGAAGTGGGTCAAATTTTTCTACATGATCATAAAAAAATCAAAAATGATATTTAAAGATTAAGTGAAACAATTAGCGGCACAGTATCTCACCTTCGCTAAGGTCTTTTTAAAATTGAATGCATTCTTGGCAAAGATTACTACTAACCAGACTGTTAAAGGCAGCGTCCAGGCAAATCTAGACCTATGGAGCTCTCACGTGGAAAGTAATCTTGAGGCCCTAAATAATATGTAGATTACTTTCCACGTGAGAGCCTCATAGGTCCAGATTTGCCTGGACGCTGCCTTTAAGCTGAGCTCTGTGAAGTCCTCTGAATTCATATATCCTATAGGATAAGCTCTAATACTACTTTACTGTGAATGTGGTTTGATGGCGCTGTCAGCTACTGCTATCATATAAGCAACAGGAAATTCCACAAAGAGACTAATTAGAATCAAATTTTAAGCTGAAATAGCAAAACAATGCATGTAAGGATATTTTTTAGGTTCCTTACCAATCACCGTCCTTCTGTATGTGCTTTCGTAATTCTACTAGCTATCGCGTACAAAATTTGCAACTATTGGGAAACTGATGTGCAATGGAAGCCGATGTGCGAGGGATGGGGGTAAGTCAAGCAAAGCTTTTCCACTCAGTGTTTAGCATTTTTCATTTTAGACAGTATGAAATTATCCCTGGACCATTGACCGCGTACTACAACTATAAATTTTGGTGGATGTTCATTACAAGAAATGCACTGGATCGTATATTGCCATTCTTCGTGCTTGTCGCGATGAATTACTTAATCATTAAGGTGATTTATACACTATGTTTTCTACCCACCTCGATGTGAAATTGGCATTAATTTCGGTAAAACATCTTAAATGTTGATAAAGGAGAAAACACATAATGTTTTCTCGTTTATCAACATTTTGCTTTGAGAAAGATCATCATAACTCATTTCGGGCTAAGGATTTCTGCTATATTTGACCCGAGGAACAAATTGTAAATATAGATGTAAATCAGCGAAAGCATAGAAAATAAAAGGTGCAATGGGCTGCTAATTTGGTGATGCAAAGCGCTTCTTCCAAATGTTAACTCACCTGGTAGCTTTCTTACTTAAATCCTCATTCCACAAAGCAAAATGCTGATAAAGAAGAAAAACACCGTAAATAGGCTAAATTAATTTACTTTCGCCTTTTATCTTTGCCCAAGTGCAATATCTTCGAAAGGATCACCAAAAAAAGAAGACTAAATGCTTGTTTATACTTTTTCGGGATCTGAATTCATTCAAAACAATTCGACTTTAGCGCCAGCGGTACAGAAATAGGCGGAAATTTCCATCCTCTAAGCGAATGCCGATTTACTATTATATTATAGAAATTTTTTATAGCCTTTCATGCGTTGCTTTAACGCACTTGTGAAAAGCCTAGTTTTGGACTCTCGTTCTTAAGAGGTTTCCCCCTTCCATTACCTAGAGCGTTGCCATTCCGGGGTAAAAGTGCAAAAAGCTAATCATCAAAAAGTTCTAAGTGCATGCTCATCTATACCAGACTAAAAGGTCTAGATAACTTCAAACAGATAGTGTAAGAGGGAGAAAACTTATGAATGTGGCCACATTGTACGCTTAGAAATTCCTGACATTTACGCAAACAAAGCTTCAACTTCCGTCTTTCTTCTCCTTTCAATGTCTCTCCCTCAGCATCTTCAACAAATTTGATTGCAACTATGTATCATACCAAGCACGATTATAGGCACTAAAAAAGGAGTATGTTAGACAGAGCGTCAGCAAATATCCGTCTACAAAAAAGGCACCTAGCATTCAACGTGGGAGCCTAAGAGTGAGCTTATTTTTATTTTTCCGTGCTTTTCAGTTGTATTCGATGAAGCATGTACTAGTACAGAAGTGTTTCAGGATGCAACAAGGGCACTGATCAGCATTGTTTCGATGTACCTTATGTCACAGTCTCTACAGGTAGGTTTCTTTGGCGAACATTAGAGCTACACTCTTGATTACGAGTACATACGTATGAGTAGTGGCAGTATGAAAATAAATAATTATAGGGTAGTGGGCAAATATGTTAAAAAAAAAGAGACAATCCTCCAATACTGACTTGCAGTTTTCTGACAAAGCTATTTGATTTACTTATATGATTTTATGATTCATCTAGTCTAACGAGGAAAGCACACTTACGAGGGAATCATGTTTAGTCGAATTAGCCTTTTTAGATAAGATGAGCACCTTGAAGAGCATAAAACGCTGATTCCAAATCCGCTTTCCTTATCTGCGGAACGTTTACGGACGAGGAGTTATGAGTCTTTACTGCAGCAAAAATCAAAATCTTCTTAGCCTTTGAATAAAGCAACCAAGCGTAGCATATTTCTTACTTGAGAGTATTCATTGATTGAGTTGCTGCGAGAATTACTGCTACATAAGCGCTAGAAAAAATATTAAGAAATTTTTGTTTTGATTTTGCTCTAATGAGAGCTCATAATAGCTCGGTATAAACGTTCCGCATATAAGAAAGGCAGAACTGGAATCAGAGCTTTATGCTCACCTTTATGTATACATCCCATTCAAAAAGGCCACTCCGACTAAAAATGGCTCCTTAGTCGAAGTGGCCTTCCCAAAAGAAATCTACATAGTTTTGAAGAACATCAAACGCTGATTCCAAAGCCCAAAAACATAACTCCGAGTGATGCAGAGCAGATATCAAGAATAAAATTGGAAACAGCGTCTAATTTTCTACAAAATGATGTAAAGCACAACCGAAAAGACCACTTCGATTAGAAACGCTTTCTTTGTAAGTTGAAAATCTGCGACTTATTCTTTATTCAGGGGATTTTCCCAACTTGGAAGCACTCAGAGCACCAATCAAAGTTTTGAACGAACAGTGTGATCAAATTTATATGATTCAGTAACACTATTTTTCGAAGTTACCTGGTCGCATTGCATGTAATAGTCAAAGATTGAGACAAAATTCTCTCGTAAGCTACATTAGCACAGCGACAGCTACACATTCGCCCCTTCCCACTCACTTTACCCAAACAAGAATTATTATGTTATTATTGTCCTTATTTAAACTCAAAGAAAATTTGTTGGGCCTCGAAAATGGTGATGAATGATATTTGTGCTGAGAAAAATGAACAAGTTTAGGTTGTGCTGACTTTCTGGGAGACATTCGATAGAGAAAGTCTTGAATCCGAAGAGATGGAGCTTGTATATTCATACTTGAATGACATCGTTAGCATTCTTACGCTGCTATCGAGGTAATCTCTGAAAGCTTTCTCTACACGCGTTCTTTTCATCACTCTTTTCTTTTGAAATCAATTTTTAGCTGCCTGCGATTTCCTGTGTACTGCTCCTGCAATCGGCTCATCTCTTCTGCCTCAGCTCAAACACTTCGACAGTTGAAAAGCATGTGTTTCGAAGAAAAGAAGATTGCACAGAGTAAGTCTTTTTCGCCAAAAATGAGAATACAGCGACAGTGGCAACAGTGATAATTAATGCAAATTATGATGTTTTACGAGAATTTCAGCTGCTACTTTTAGGATACAGCCCTATTCAAAATTGTCAGCATTTGGCACAAAAGGACGGAGACCAGGTACATTATTTCACTTACACCGATATATGCTTTTCTAATCCTATGAATATCTCAGTGAATGTTAGGTTGTTGAGGTTAATTAAGTATTGCAATTTTCTTCTGTAACTTCTTATGGTGCAAATTTTGTCATTGTATACGGCATGATAAGTTACAAGTGCAGCTAGTGTCAAATTTTGCCGTCAATATAAGGATTTCGAAAGGCATACGGTTTATGAGAGAAAAATAGTGCATCATTGCAGTATTGGCTGGAACTTGGCCTAGAAACCAACATTATGATTACATATATGTACTTCACTGACTTCGCCTGATAGGTTTTTTTTGCAAGATTACGACCAATTCGCGGAGTAGAGCCTCCTTTGAAATAAAGACAGGCGTACTATCTCAACAAATCATAGCAATGTTCGTGGTTCAGAGATCAATTAACTCAATTTGCCAGTTTTCGGCGAATTCTAAGATTCCGACCCCTCAGTCATTGACTGCTGTCTCCAGCAGCGTTGCGTACAGCAACTTGTTCAACTTCGTGTGAGCGCCAGATCTGCACCTGTCTAAAAAGCCATTCCTTTTCTAATCAGCTGAATAAATCAACATCTACATAGCAAACACACCATGTATAATTTCGGGTCGTTGTGCGTGGTCTAGATTGCGAACAACTTCATTTTTGCCGTCAGATTTTTTTAGTTTTAGATTGATTTTATTGACTGAAAAGTACTTTGATTTGATCTACTTTGTTATTGAAAAGCTAGGGAATCGTGATAGTTTGTAGCTCACATTATAAACGGTGCTAGAAGTATTGCTGGCCTGAAGTACTTCCAACTCAAATTTGGACGCTTATTGTTTTGTTGTGTTCACCAAAACTAGAAACCACTATTGCAGTAAGAATTAGGACTTTTTTGCTTTCTTCAATATTTTATTTGGTTGAAACACGGTCAATACTTTCCACGCTCCTTTCCTGAAATGCCTGTTACAAAAAAAAACATATTTTACAAAATGTTTGTACACCATCTGAAGACCCTTTCTTTCTAAGTTCATGCATACACTTTTCTCTATCTAAAAATAAAATTATTTTAAAATACAGTAAGTTGAAAGACAAGAGATTCAATTTCATTTTCGTCAAAAAAGTCCGGCTCCAAACTGTATAAAAAATAAGAATTTCAAAAATTTTTGTGCTAAAAATTTTAATGAAGAAACGCAAAGCTCTTTCCGTTTTCATCGTTAAAAAGTAGAACAAATAAAATAAGGCACTCTTCCGCCCTTTCAAGCTAAAGAAACTGTTTACTTTCAATTTTTTTAGAGTATCCTGAAGCAAAAGGTTTTTCTTTGTTGATTCAGTGGTTCCTGAGTCTAGCGAACAGATACAGCAAAAATCGAGTTGAAATTCGCAATTAAAGTTATTTATTTATTTATTTATAAATACATTACTTAATCGTAATGTGCCATTATACCAAGAACATCATTACATTATTACAAAGCAGGAAATTGCAACTGCAACTAAAAAAGAATAGAATGCATTTAACTTCAAATCTACACCTCAAAAACTCTCGCACATATTTGTTGCTATAATATCGGATACAGATGGAGTAGGACGAAAAGTACGCATTGTTCTGTTGATGACCGTTATCTGTTTTTGAGAAGATCTCACACGCATTATCGAAGCTTCGATCAGGTGTATCGCCAAGGTATGCATAGTGCTCAAAATAACGAAGTGGAATGAAGAAAGAATATGATGTGATAGGCCATTTCCGAGCGGTGTGTGATACAGCATCCAACTGTCCATCGTCGATCCATCCATTCATTTCATACATACATACATACATACATACATACACATGTTGATTCAACCCCTCATTTCCTCTGTGTTTGAGCTAGTGGCATGGAGATAGATACGCCAAATCAAAGCTTCAAAAATGTGAAAAGCAGCGGTTTAGGTTAACTGAATATAAGTGAGTCATGAGCGGGAAGTAATTATGAGCCAATACTGGGGTCTAGGGCAGGAGTTTCACGGGTATAGAAGTAAAGGATAAATGCCTAAAAAGCACAAATTCACAGAGTCATAGTGGTCGGATAATTGAGGCCAGAAACTTTCCAAACACCCTATGTTCTACATAATATCAAAAATAAGCCCGCTAATGTAAAAAGAACGAGTAGTCATGGAATGCTGCAAAACTTAGTTAGCACCCAATCTTTTAAAAAAAACTCACAGAACGAGAAAAAAATAAGTCGATCATTTTTGACGCTTTCAGAATTAGCTTGGTTTTGTAAGCAGTCGTATTCACTTTCTCATAGAGGTGCAAACAACTTTAGAAACCTTCACAAAAAACAGTTACCTATTTTTGATGAATTCATTCTTTCATTATTCTCACACTGAAAGGTTCAAAAATTGATTGAAATTATTAAACTTCTACTTCTCTTTACAGATGTACAAATCTTCAGACACAAGTGGACAACCAGGCACCGCAGAAGCAAAGATTTCTGGTGCCGTTTACAATGATGTTCTCAAAGAGTGGCAATTATGAAATGGTAGAAACGCTTTTTCTCGCAATTGCTTTTCTCAGCTTTACTTTCTATATTGCTTTCGCTTTGCATATTTTTACGCTGAAGAAACAATTTCTCGTATGCGATTCTCAATATATGTTACTACAATGAACGGGTGAATTGTTCTTGATTGATTGAAATGAATTTTATAGAAGTTCATCCTTGTATGACATCGTTTTGATTTATGTCGTTAGTGATTTGTGACTTCGCAAATATTACGAACAGAGTGCACTTCGCTTTTGTGTCGTTTTATGATTTCTGCCGCCATACGCACAATGATCGTCCTTGTGCTCAGCTTGTGACACCGATTTAATTGAACTTTGCTGCAGTCTGCACCAGCAGAGGGCAGAAAAAGAGTTTGGAACATCACATAGCACAAGCAAAGGTCGGAAAAGCAGCGCGAGAGCAGGTGAAAATGCACAGAGTCGTAGCAAAAATCACATTGAAATTATAGATGCTGATCGATGTAATGACAAATGGGAAAAGGCACCTGTACAAATTCCGTTTCAATTTGAACAGTACGGAGACTAGGAGAGCCACCTTCTTTGAATCTCATCAAAAGTGAGGAAAGGATGGAAAAGTGATCGAAAGTTTCTAAAGAACTAGAAGGAAGACTAACAATGAGCTTCATTTTCCACGAAGTTCTGGGCTGATGTTGACATATTTGTCCATGATGAAAAACGCTGTTTAGAAACTCATCAAGTGTAAAGATATGAAGAACTATGGCCCGTAGTAAACCCCCCTTCAGGGGATCTGCCCTGAAACGGACCTGAGTTGATCATATGGCGCCTCGGTCTAGCATCCCGCGAGCTATTGATCTAGATGCGGATCGCTTTTCAGGCATAAAAATCTTGCGCGCTATCAAAGAGGAAACACCTGCACCTCCTGTGCAGGTTTAGTCAAACAGGTATGTGACTGGTACTCAGCCTGCACGACCGTGGTTCGGTGCCGGACCGTGGCGAATTTTTGCGCTTCACTGAGCAATCTTTGATAGCGGCCACTACCGAAGAAAATCGATGACGGCCGCTATCAAGGAATCCACAAAGCAAATGAATGCACATTTTGACCAAAATTTCATCAAAAATTGAGGAAATAGGGACAAAATCGAATGGAAATAAATAAAGAGATTATCGCTCTGAATAGCTTTTGTAGAAAAAACCTAAGCAAACTCTGCAAAAAGGACTCGCATTCTTAAGCATGTGAGAGTGACCGCTAGTCAGTTTATCTGAAATACCTCAACTCAGCCACTCAGCTGAGATCATCTGAAGTAAAGTGGGGCTTACTACGGGCCTGAGATAGACAACTCGCATTACTACAAAATGTTCGAGAAGTAGGCAGTCCTCTCTATGGGAAATCTAGCTCTTTTGCTTTTAAAATTTTTTGAAGTTTCAGAGAGTTATACGATAGGATTTGCTTACCACTTTTGACTTCGGATCGTATATTCGGTCTGCTTTATAAGCCTAAGTAGACAATGTTGTCAAGTTAGTCTTCAATCGTAAAATGAAGCAATTGATTTATAAATGCACAAAATACTTTTCAAAAACTGGTTTTCTGAATCGAGAGGCACTAAGGCTGTCCCGGATCCGCGATGCGAGCAGCTCCTGAAAAAGCGAGCGGGGAGCGTTGATTGCCGTTGTGTCAATCGCACCACTATTCTCGCGGCCAGACGACTGGAGCGCTGCATAGGTGGACGGCTATATACACATAGCCGCGCTCAGAACGGGTTGTAACTTCCCTTTGTTCATTGTGTCTCTTTTCGAGCATTGTTTAGGTTGTTTCATTGTACTTTGCAGCGCCTCGAGAATCCATCCTAAGTGTTTAAGTAAACGGTCGAGTGAGAATTTGGACGTTGGAAGAGTGAATGTTTTGTGGTTTGAAGATTTGGGCAAGTACTCTTCGGGAACGAAGAGTACCGTTCTGTATGAACCTGGCGTCGTGCGGCTGGCTCTAGAGGAACGAATACGTTTGATGGAGTGTAGGTTCCCTAGGCCACCGGAGGCGCTCGTTATATTGTCAGTTATAATTTCGTGTGCTAATCGCCCTTACATTCAGTGTATGGGTAAGAATAATTTGCGACACGTGGCGCAGGCAATCTTTGCACGGTCGCTCGTAACATATTGAGGAATACGGGATCGAGTTGTAGGCTGGCGAGCGGTAGACGGTGCTGAGACCCAATGGTTGCGGTAAAAGTGAGTAGCGCCATTTTCGGCTAGTCTAATCTCGGACGTCAAACAATACGTATTTGATGTTTTACGTCGTAGAAGTTTCTAAGGTAGGCAAACGTGTATGTTTCATTTTATAGTTTTTTATCAGTATCAAGTGATTTTATGCTGATAATGATATTAAATGTAGGCGATTCACTGAAGAGGCCATAATATAGTGTCTGCTATTTTCAAAGACTCTCATACCTTTAAACTGAAATCTCGAGTCAGTGACAGCCAAGGAACTCCCCTCTTGTAATCTGGCTTGCGAAGCAGGGCCTGTATGAGAAAGGCTCTGAAGTGACTTAAATACCTCTTGCCGCTTCAAAGTAACACGAAATTATGGATGACTAGGGGAACCTCTTCAATGCTCGACCGCTAATGAGAGTTTCCAAGCTTACAGTAGGATACTGCAGAGCGAAATTGGTGGTACAAATAAATTTAGCAGAGGTACACGACTTACTAAAAGTTTGGTTCTGACTTTGCAGTGCAATAATTTTTGATTCTTTTCTTTTCTAAGTTTAATATGTCTACTGATAAATTGTTGTAAACAACTGTTTAAAACTCAAAAATTGATCTGATTGTATTGAGTTATGGTATGCCATGTAGTGCATGATTTTGATATCTGTGCTTCATTGCGTATAATAAACGTGAACCTGTTGGACATACATTAGGTATAAGAGTGCTTTGATAGAGGAGAACACAACTTCACTGGTATTGAACATATGAAAAAGAAAAAACGAAGAAAATAGACAAGTGTGGAGATGCGAAACTAACATACGGTTTATACTGTAGTTTCAACAAAACTGCAGATTTTTGATGTTTTCTGCACATTAGTGGGAAGCTCTAGAAGCCCTTGACAAAAATGTTGTGATTGGTGGCCATAATCCGTATTTTATTTTTCATCTTCGCTCTAGCATTTCACAATTGCACTAATGGCGCTTCTCAACAATTATCATAGTGTGAGGTCGGCCCATTATCAACGCTATGTCATTCCTAGATGTTCTTTTTCCCTTTCTTAGTTTTCTCCTTTTTTCGCCACACGGACAAAGGTGGTCTTTTTTTGAAGAATTCCACTATTTTTGTGTCAGCCTAGCTGCTTCCCAGCAAAGTCGCTTCCACTTGTGACTTTGCTACAAAGCTATGAGTTATCGTTCCTTGGAGGTGCACTCAAAAGTTTGTGCATGTACAAAATCACGTAAGAACGGATGCAACAGAGTAGTAAATTCTATTATAGCTTTTACGAGCTTGACATTCAGGTTGGAGCGATTTCGTAAATCTTTTAGATCCAAATGTCTTGACTTTTAAATGCATTATGGTTAGCTTTAGCTTTGAGAATGTAACAAAGTGTCAGTAAAACGATCTAATTCTCAATGAGACTAAAGTAAATAATAGAGCTTTGAAACGCTTTGATCGCTCCTTCTAATTAGACATATACTTCGGGAAACGCCGCCCTCTCTCAGAAGAAATATACTGAACCTATACTCTCAAAAGCATGATGTGCATTGGACTCTTATTATTATTTTACAACAGTCTTGCAATCACACAAAAAAAACTATATGTACTGTGATTTTTAGTTTCCAGTCTTTCAGTATCTTTGATGTGTATCAGAAAACCTAATTTCACTTTACATTATAGTTATATTTGCAATTCGTCGTTTCCGTCAACTAAGCGGTAAAAGTCTTTTTACCAACAATTTTCTTATTCATGTTTACACATCTTAGAGAGTATAAAAGAGTACAAAAGATTAGATTAGACGGCGCTGAAATTTCGTAGCGTATAACCGAAAAGAATATATTTTATAATTCTTTATCAGCCTGAGCTTCTTCGGACACATTTTTCCAATTCAAATAAAAATATGCTCTCGCAAAAGCTTGACAAATGTTGTTTTTTGATAACATCTTCTCGCAAATGTGCTGAGTTTTCGTGGCTTACACTTTATGGAATCAAGAAATACTCCTCGTTTGTGGAGTAGACACATCCATGTTGTTTATTTTAGAATCTACAGATACAGGTACATACCCTCAAAATCAACTTTTCCGGCTTTCAAGACATTTCCTTTTGTTCTACAGCTACTTATTTTTGAGTGCATTAATAGCAAAAACAGCGCATCAAACACATTCTCTCTCAATGTGATGAAAGATTTCAATGGTCTCTTGTCGTTCTCAACTTTCTTGTGAAAAAAAACAGTTGTAATTTTGATTGCTTCAGACGGATCAGGGTTCAAATGCTACAAAACTCCAATAGTTTTTTCTGCGGTCTTCACAAATATAAAATTTACCATTGCTCGCTTATTACTCTGTCAAGTGGCACACATCTCGAAAGCATCCTTTTGCAACAATTTTTTGACTGAGTTCAAAGCCCATCTCTTCTGTGCAATTATAGTTCAAAACGAATAATTTTTTTCAAACCCTTGAAGATTTTTGTATAAATTGAGCTCTCATTGCCTTCGTTCACACGAACTAGTCAGAGTCAAAATAACAGTAATTTCAAGTGCAAAAATAATCTGAAGCGAAGTAATAGCTTACTTCATTAAAATCTATTAGCAGCACAGTGGTCGAAGGGGATTGTATGTCGTAATCCAACATCAAATTCGATTACGGTTAGAAATATAGCAAAGTGAGGTGTCTCGTAGACCAAACATCTGGAAGAATTCACTCCAAACGAAAATCTTTGCGCACATTATCATCTACTGTTTGTCGTACAATAAAAAGCCATTTTGGAACGACCGATTCAATGGTCTTTCCCTGTTGCTGAGCTTACATGATTTCAAAAATCTTCACTCTACTTTTAAAAATATCCACTTGGGCAATGCGGAAGTGACAAAGAAATTCCGCAGTGTGGTTTGTAGCATGGCGCAGAGTGCACTTCGCAACGCGCATTGTTATCTTCACTCTCTTATTTACGTTTTTGTGTCTTTTAACGCAACAAGAAGCCATAGCGTAACACTCAGCATGTGAAAGTTCATTGCTTCTGACGTTCTTCTCGAATCTCCATTCTCAAATACGTTCCATTTTGTCTTTTGTTCGGAGTGATTCCTCAAGCTCATAACAGTCACGAATCTAATTGAAATGGGAGCATTAGTAGATTTCGCTCTTCAACTCCTTGCCTGCTCAAATTTGGTGTGGTTGCAAAACCGCCTTTTTTATATGTATGTCAGTTCGAACTTCACACTGAAATGCTTCACTAGATCTAGTACAAACGAGAAATTATGATGAGACGGATCAATACAGATTAGGTTGTGCAGTATACTTAAACATTTATATGCTTGAAATATTAAGTTGGCGCATAGAGTGCTTTTCACAAGACTTTTGTCGTACAATGTAGCGCATTTACTTTTTGATCTTATCATATATGCTAATGTCATCGCATGTAAGGGTTACGGTACGTCTACGGTATAAAGGGAAAGTTTTCGGTTTGCCCCAGATTTTGCTGGAATTTGGTCTAAAAGAATTACTGACATGCCGATTACAGAATCTTTCATGATTGTGAAGTATTGATTTTCATCCTTAGATCAGCAACAAATGAATATGATGTTCATGTGCAGCATAATTAATTACCCCCTGCTCGAAGTTTTGATAATGCCTGAGCTTTCGCTGCTTCGTTGTTGCATGCCCTCACCAAGTTTATGCATTCGTCTTGTTCTTCTTCGTCTGTTCTTGTTGAACTTCTCGATCAGATGATTCATTTGAAATTTTTTTAAATTTTTGATGCTATCACTATCTGGCCAACTCATTTAACATCAACTGGAGAGCAAATTGACGTATATGATTCAACTTTTCCTCTTCTTCCTAGTGGGTGATTTTTGGGTAATTTTCGTGTCCAGTTTATATTGTCATTGAGGATGAAATCTTTGAATTTCTGTTTCTGAATCTTTTTTTGTTCCTTTTCCAGTAAAATCGAGATTTGACATTCCGATCGTAAATGCTCATCTGCTTTGTAAAATCAGTGTGCTAGGTTGCTGCAGAAGTTTTGAAGTTCGTTTTGCATGTTTCAAATTCAAGTACGAGAAGTTTCTTTCAAAATCAATTTTGGTCGATAAACATTTCTATGAAATGAAAAGTTTGTTATCGGAAAGATAATAAGACCCATAAGAAACACTGAAGACGAAGCTTGCAACGTTTTCTTCAAACTTGTCTCTTTGACATTTTGATGCTCCTTTATAAGGACTTCCTATAATTCAAGTACTACCGCATCAAAGGCGGAAGTTCTTTTTAACAACTGTTCGGATATGCAGCAACCTAGTAGAACCATGATCTTCACTCCAAATTTTCAATTCTGGGGATGGGGATAAGGGGCGTTGGGGTATGAGACGCCGTTATGATCAAATCGAACCAGGTTTGACCCTGCCCTTAGGCCAACCAAGCCCCCCATCCTCGTGGGTGGTAGTTAACAGAGTAATCTGGGGTTAAAAGCATTGACTTTGTAGTCGGCTGGCCCCCGCAAATCACTATAATGAGCCAGCAGACGTTTAGTAGATTCTTCGATAATAAAGTAGAGTTCGGCGCATGCTCGCAGAGGGTAATGAAAACGCCGATTTCTTTGACTTTGTTAGTTGATCTTGAAGACTCACCGGTGTTTTACGCGTTTGTATCTGAAACAAGTCTGTTGAAATTTGATAACGAAAAGCGCATGAAAAATCATGACGAGTCATGGATAGGAGAAAAAATTGTTTTGTATCGTAAAAGTTTGGCTTTATCCGCTAGTTACTTTTCTTTGAGGAAGTCGGTACGAAGCTTCTAAAAATAACGAAACTTAATCATGACAAAACTATGGGCCGTAGTTTTTGGTAATTTTAACGAGCTCGTCGGTCAAACCGGCTTGAGAAAATTAACCTTCTAAAGAAGGTAAAAAAGCATCGAATGCTTCAAAAGTCCTTCGAAGACATTAATTTGGCGAGAAACTACACTTTTTTGAAAAAGCGGAATTATTGTCGCAGGATCTAATACTTTTTACTTTCAGACCAAGATCTCTCTCTCTCTATAATCTGGAAGCAAATCGATACTATTTTTGGTGCGATAAAACATGACAACTTTGCAATCCTCAATGATTACTCCTTTTTTGCAACATATTCAAGTGACGTTGAGCGACCGTGTTATGAAACATAGAGATCGTTTAAAGCTAAAGGGCACAAACTACATTTTGTCTTTATGCGGAGAAAAGTGTTTGCTTCGATTGCAACATAAAAGAAGTAAATATGATATTTATTTCTGTTCAAGTCAAAAAAAACCCCTAATTTCACGCGTATAAGGCGCGGGGGATTTTTTTCAAAATCGACCAGTCCAAACCCAAAGGACTTTACAACCAAAGGACCCTGTAACGTGCTGTATATTGCTTGAGGGAATCGTGCGATGTAAGGATTTCTTTCCGGAATGCAGTGAAGCGGCTAAGCGGCTCGCTTGAAAATTCGAAAAAGTACGTCTTATACGCGTGAAATTAGGGTACAAGAAATAAGGGGTACTCATAGCTGTGCAGAGGTTTTTTCCATTGTGTTGTAGATGCATATCTCGCATCCCATTTCTTTCGCCGGAGAAAGTGACACAAAGTTAACGAGGATTGTAATATGATTAAGTCTGTAACACATTGGTTTCTTTTTCATTATGAGATATGATTAGCGCTGACATTACTTTATTGAATGTCGTAAATTGTGCTTTGTATTCCCAGTTTTTTTTGTCGAAGGATTTGAAAGTGCAAATAGAAACCACAATACGTATCTTTTTGGTGTCATGAGCGAGCAGAGCATCTTAAAAGACAGCCGCTTTGCAAGAAAGTATGCTACAGCCACTTCGCGCGATTGCATTCCTGCATAATTGCACTGACAGCCTCATAATAGTGCAAAATTGCCCAAATTCATTAAGCCACATACAGCTTATTTCTACGACTATCTACCTCGCTTTTGTGAAAGTCGACTGCGCGAAATTGCTCGAATAACTGTAAAGGATTCTCCAGATGCGCCGGTTGTCGCTTCTGCGCCTGGGTAAGTGCTTTTGCACTGGTGGTTGCTTTTGTAGACGAAGCGCACTAACAATAAGTCAGATTGTGTCCATACGTATGAGCAACTTATTCGGTCTAAACTAGTTTCAAGGTTTTCAAATTTGTATTTCGTTTTGGCGCTCTTTCTAAAATTCAATAAAGGATTTCTTTTCAGGACAAGGTTTTTTTTACCTGACTTGCAGTCCGTCTTTTATCAAGTTATCTTTCATTAGGAAGCTATTTGTTCGTACCTAATTGAGCGAATATTGCTAAACGAGGTTCTTTTTATCTAGTTTTCCTTCTCACATATTTTCTTCTATGCTGAGTGAAAACGTTATGAAGCGAGGCTTTTTCATGTACTTTTGGTTCCCAATGGTCCACAGCATAGATGGGACAACCCCACCAAAATGATGTTTTTTAGATCCAACTTTTGCCTTGAGGCTACTGTATTATGCTGGATGGGCTACGTCATTGCAAAAAGAGCTATTCTTGTGCGATTTGAAGCTATTCTACTATGTTGAGTGAGCGATATCGTTGTGTAATAAGGTTCTACTGTGCTTTCTTTGCTTTGTAATCTACTTATGCGGAGTGAACGACTTACATATGAAGGTTTCATTAATTTATACTCAATTTGAAGTTATCTTACTCTGCAGTAGTGAACAGAGCATGCCAAATGAATTTCACAACGAAAGGTAATAAGTTTTATCTCTTACAATTTCGAGTAATTAGCATAACATACCAGAGGAAAGCAGCGAAAGGATGTCCATTCTGATAAGTTGCGTTCAACCCAGCTAGTAGAAAAGTTCTGAAAAGATTCAAGAGAATTTGGGTCTGCAACGACACCATTCATAACAATTCTAGGAGAACAGCTTGAAAACAAAGACACATCGAAATAACCTCGTTCGCAGCAATGCGATCATTTAGCACAATGAAATAGCTTCAAAACCGAAGAGATCATAGAAACACATTGTGTTAAAACAAAATTAGTTTAATGAAACATAAAAGGATAGTCATTATGAAAGACCGCAATGATATGAAAACCTTGAAAGCATCACTTCAAAGGCAGCGTCCAGGCAAATCTGGACTATAGGGCTCTCACGTGGATCTTAATTTTAGGGTCCTAACTAAGCCACTGCCCAAGCGGCGGCTAGCTCAGTTTAGTGCTCTGACGGCTGAGATACTCGCCTCGAAACTGGACCCCGTGATCGTATTTCGCATGGGTTCATGGCGCAATCCATGCGTCCTCGTGCGAAATTGATGGCTTGCGCCATGAATCCATGCGAAATACGATCCCGGACCAGTTTCGGAGCGAATATCTCAGCCGCTAGTGCACTAACCTAAACTACCGTTGGGCAGAGGTTTAGTTAGTGCCCCAAAATTACTGTCCATGTAAGAGTCCCATAGTCCAGATTTGCCTAACGCTGTCTTAAAGGCAGTGTCCGGGCAAAAACTCAATTTTGAGATTTTGTGCTTATACGGGCCTATTCGCCATGCTGAATCCGAAAATCCACATTGGAAAGCGCGAAAACGGTGAAAAACGGCTCTGATGTAGGAGGGAAATCAGCAGGTGGGCGGGGCTCTCCCCAGTGCGATTTCACGCTCCCAGCTCCCGCAGCGATCTTCTCACCTCCGGTTTCAAGTCAATCATTAGCACTTGGCCGGTAGCATGTTAGGACGGTCAGCGGAATCGAGAAGACCGCTCCGAAAGCTGGGAGCGTGAATTCACAGGGGAGGACCCCGCCCACTTGCTGTTTTCCTTCTGCGCTAGAGCCCTTCTTTGCCGTTTTCGCGCTTTCCAATATGGATTTTCGGATTCAGCACGGCGAATAGGCCCGTATATGCACAAAATCTCAAAATCGAGTTTTTGACCGGACACTGCCTTTAAAGCGAATAAGTCGTTCATACATGTGTGTCCCATAGACATAATCTGGCCCAGCGCGCCTCAGCTGCAAAAGCTAGAGCTGACGCGATCTGGAGGCTCCCTAAGGGTGCGTTCATACTGATCCGAAAGTTCGGGAATAGTTCCGCACAGCGCTTAGTTCGAGCTGTGCTGGAACTTTTCTCGAACTTCGGGATCAGTATGAACGCAGCCTAAGGGAACGACCATAGGTTGCCGGCAACTGTTGCCGAGGGCCGGCGTTGCCGGGCCTGCTGGAGTTGCCGGTCGTTGATAGCCTCTACATTTCAAGCGCTCTCTAAGCTGTCTCTGACCCCGGCAACGCCTGCAGCCTCGGCAACCTCGGCAACCGTTGCCGGCAACCTATGGCCGTTCCCTAAGCGAAGAGCCTGCAAGCGTGCCGAGCTGCGGCTGCCGAGGTGGCTTGCGGACTAAGCTTAGCATTGGCGCTTTACTGTTAATGTTACTCGTTAATGTTAGTTATGGCATCGAGTCATGTATCTGTCGCCACCCCCACCACACCCCCTACTGTGGCGCCGTGCCACTTTAGCATCGGGAGGTTTTCATGAGGAACAAAATTTGGGCGCGGCGAGCACGCGGTGTGACTCCTGACCCGGATTGAGCCAACCCCTCGCGCGTGTTTGGCTTAGGTTTTTCGGAATTGCGAACAGTCAACTTTTTTATTTAATTGCGCGAAAAATGAATGAGATCTTTGGCTTCTCAGAGAATGCAGAAGGAGTGTCAAGTGTGCAAACTACCCAGCCATGGCAAGCATTTCGGAGTGAATGCATGTAGAGCGTGTGCTGCCTTCTTCAGGTAACCATATGTCTTCTTCTCAAGGCAGTATAATAAAGCTGCATAGTACTTCCAGGAGGACTGTGGTTCTAGGCAGAAGATACGTATGCAGAGGAGGAAGTGAAAATTGCAATGTCAGCGGGAAGATTATCTGTAGAGGATGTCGTTATAGGAAGTGCATCGCAATAGGGATGACAACCGAGAGTGAGTCAGTCGGGAGATAATTTTTTAACAAACCGACTATGATCTAGCCTCAGACAAAACCAAGTCGTAATTGGTATTTAAGAATGCAACATATTTAACAATTCAATTTTTCTTTGCTAGCAATGCAATACTTTGATATCCTCCAGTCATCGACTGCACGGAGTGGCGGTGTCTGCAGCGGCTGCCACGCACTGCTAAAACGTCAGGAGAGCATATAACTTGTACAATCGCGATTTGTAGTGGGAAAAGCGTTGCAAGATGCGTTGCGTGCGCCTCACCACGGCCCGTTTAACAAATGGAGGATAACTGTATCATTCACTCCACAACGTTTAAGCAGATGGCTTCGTCAGAGCCTGTAAATGACAAATTGATCGCAACTTAAGTAACTTAGCTGAATAGACAAGACGCAAGGCCTTGCTCTTGATCGCCGATTTAGCTGCAACATCAAACACTCGGTACTCTAAATTACGCCGACTCTTTGCTATAATAAAGTTGGTAAATCAACCGGCGGCCTCATGCTAGATTATCGATGGACATTATGTGGAGGTCGCTTAAAGGCAGCATCTCGGCAGAATGACAAACTTGGGATATTCATCGTTCTTGACTGCGTCGGATAAGCTGAATCTGACTTGTGCTTAGCAGCATTTGAAGATATCAAAAACTCGCTTCCACGGACGAAAGTGCTGTTTGGGCGGATGGCGAAAAGAGCTGCTGGAGCCATAATCCAGTTGCCGTCAAGATGGGTACGGTGTCTTCACTCAAGAGCCTATCGTACTTTAGAGGGCAGGCCTACGCCGTTCGCTTAAATAGCACTTTCACCTCTGCAAAAGCGGGTTAACAGTGGCGGACCGAGGGGGGGGGGGGCGGGGGGGCGCGCGCCCTCCCCCCCCCCCGAGAATGGGTTAAAAATTCATTTTAGCCTTATAAAAAAATTTTTTTCGGGGGCGTGGCTGACGCCACGCCCCCTTTTTTCAGAATTTAGGGGTCGGAGACCCGCAAAAATTTTGAGAAGCACCCCAAAAATTTTTTCGGAGTGCGTGGCTAACGCCACGCACCTTCTTTAGAAAAAAATTTTTGTCGCGCCCCCCCCCCCCCCGAAAAAAATTTCTCGGACCGCCACTGCGGGTTAATGATAACTTTTGAAGCTACAGTCTTGGACTTAGCTCGTCCAGAGGATCCGAGAATGATGAATATTCCGAAGTAGTCATTGTGCCGCTGCCTTTGAGTATTGGTAAATTAACACGTTGACGACAACGCGCAGTTTTAGTTGTCTGCCTTGTGGGACAATGTCTTTCACGAATAAGTCAAAAATTTCTAGCTAAAATCGTCAGATCGTCATCTAAACTATACCTACACAAATTCCTGAAAGGCTAAGAAAAGCCAAGGTATTCTCTAGGATTAGAGCGTAAAAGGCCTCATGAAACGGATGTACCCAGTAATCGTTATCATTAAAACAAAATTTATGCCGTGACCCACCATGTGGGTCACATTGTCCAACGTGGCAGTCATTGCATGACCCACCATGTGGGTCACGTTGTCGTCAATATGTTAGAATGGCTGATGATACGGCGAGAGCTCACGAGGCGAGCCGATAGTTCTTTCTTCTTCCTATTCTTTTTTGAAACTCTGGCATGATCCAAAATGCTTCCAAGCACTTGCGATTGGTTGAACTTCTTGCGCCAGTATGACCGCCGAGCTCCAAAGTTCAATCCTGCATGTCTTATAAGGAAAGGATACTCGGTCACCGGCCATTTGGAATACGATGTATACTGTGAGATGCACCTCGAAATGCTCATTCCAAATCTGTGCTCGATATCTGCGAAACGATCTTCTGAAGGACGTTATAAACTTTTTTCGTAGGAAATTTTCGTACTTTTGTGTAGTTAAAATCACCAAAGTTGTTCCAAGTTACCATATGAAGCTATTGAAGAGAATCTTAAAGGGAATACTGTTGTATTATACCTATCTAAATCATATTCAGCATTTAAAAGGAAAGAAAATATTTATGATTTTGACCCTCAGCAGTAACGCAGTTTATTCCTGGAAAAATAATCATAACTCCACCCTGATTATCGTTTCGCAGATAAGGAAGACAGTATTCGAACCAGCGTTAAAAAGCGCATTTTTTGATATACAAATCCGTTATGAATGGCCGCGGTAACCAAGTTTCCTTCCCTTGTTAGTAGGAGGTAGTGGCTGAAACAATATGCTCCGGATACATTTTGGACGCGTGACCTTTCAAATATTTTTCCCCGCTGACTATACCTAGGGCCCGGCACAGATTGTTCAGAAGGCTACTTTGTTTTCGGGTGAAAAACCGAGGGGAATATCGTTTTTATGGGTCCAAAAAGTTAGATTAGGTTTTTTTGGTCGAGTTTTCGAAAAGGATGCTTTAAGCAAATTACGTAAAATTTTGAGAAGGAGAAAGGACTCATGCCAAGCCCTGAGCCATCTACACCTAGCCCTGAGCCACCTAGCTACCTGAGACTCCAGTTGCAGGGCCCGGCCAGGGCCTGGCACGAGTCTAGGGTTTCTGAAAACAAAGTCTCCCCTAACTTTCGGAAGTTTTACGAAGTCCCCTTTGGCCTTCCTGCTTAGGAGAAGTTGAAAACAAGAAAGATTTACTAGTTCGAAAGAAAAAACGTAAAATAAAAGTGAAAATCCAAATTGGAGCTGAATACTACGCATGCACAAGAGTTTGGCATTGGAGCGCGATATTCAGCAAAGCGAACCATTTCATGTTTAGGGTTAGATTTTTGACCGGGGAATCGCCACTGAAAGAAAAATACGAAACTTATGTGAAATAACAGAAATATGTGCTCCAGACAATCTCAGATCGTCTAGTGACCGTCTGGAGATGCACCAATTTTGAAGAAGGCAATATTTCACATAAGTTTTCAAATCTTTTCGCATAATTCTTCTGCAAATAATTTTCTATGTATACATTTCAATTTTGGTGTCATATGCTTCTGTTTGCGCTGTAAACAAGCAATTTTGTATATTTTAGCATCGCTTTCAAATCGCGCGCACATTTCGCCATACACGATTGAGCATCTCAATCAAGCGATAACCTGTCCGAAAAGTTGTTTTCGACTAAATGGCGCTTATTCTTATTGCTTAGCCCCGACTCGTTAAAAACGATATCTCCTTTGCTTTTTGCTTCAAAAACGAAACCAGCCTGCTTCCAGACGATCTCTGCCGGGCCCTGGGCCCGGCACCTCTGGCACCGGTTCAAGCTAGATAGCGTTGTTATCGCGAACACCGGGGGGGGGGGGAGAAAATTTTGGAATCGCACTACGTTAGAAATTGGCATTCATACATCATCCGGTTTAGACAATTCATTACAGAGCATTACTCACACGCTCAAACACATCGTAATTCAAAGTTGTGCTCTAAATGAACAATGCCTTCACAAACAAAACGCGTTGACATGAACGTTGACGCTTTGACACGTTTTGCATTTGTTTTCATGAGCATGAGGAAACTCAAACTGTGACCGAATCTTATATAAAAAGCTGAATGTCTGTTTGTCTGTATGTCTGTATGTACAGGGTGGGGCAAAAGTCTGGGAGCCTTGTACTTTTTCAATAAAATCAGAAGCGAAGTGCCTAGGAATAAAAAATTCGGTGCACACATAAATCAAACCTTTACAAATACAGCGCTGCTCTCAAATTCTGAGACTGCCTCTTCTGGTTTTAGAGCAGCCCTTCGAAATCTTGGCGAGTCCGCCTGTCGTGGCACGCAGGCAGTCGTAATGAAATTCGTCCCAAGCCTTAACGATAACTGTTTCTTTTACCAGGCAAATGTACGGTATGATAGTCAAGCTTTTGGCTACATGTGCTGCAAAAAAAATTTTTTTTCTGCCGTGTTCAGGAAAAAAATTTTGAAATTTTAATTGAAGGCAAGTTTACTCCTATATTGGAAATCTGGATGCGATTGCACGAACGGGAGCGAAGAGTCGCAATCTGAAAAGTACTGAAGTTGCTTGATCTATCAAACTCAAATATATGCTTGCATAGAAGACTCATGGAAAAAAATAAAGCCTAGAATTCACTGCCTGCTGTGCTCCTACAGCTTTCAAATTTATTTTAAAGAAAAATGGCCACTGGCACGCGGTAGTATCCGCAAGTTTTTATTTTGCGTTTTCGAAAGAATAGTATCTGACAAACGCAACGACTACGAAGCAATAGCGCAAAGTCTCCTCTACATTGTATGCATCGAAGAGCTTCAAAACATCCACTGTATCTTTAGCTACGAAATAAGTTGTGGAGATCAAAATCTCGATTTTTTGCTTTGCAGAGCACTTGTTTGATAAATCCAACTCCTACAAAAACATATGGCAAGCAGTTTTAGTCAGCCGAAGTGTAGTTTGTAGAGGATGATATCAGCAATATGTGGCTCAAATTTGGAGTCAAAACCATCAATAGTTTCTTGATTTACAGCACTGCAAAATAGGCTCCCAGACTTTTGCCCCACCCTGTATGTACGTGTGTAATAGAAAATCCCATTTTTGAACCGATCCGGACCAAACTTTGCACACATACACCTCGGGACCAAGCGGGTGTCATAGGCCACTTTTCGTCATCGATCGAGTCGATTCTATCGATTTTTATTGATTTTTTTGCAGAGTTCACCTACGGGGCTGCGATTTAGCACAGTGGGGTAATCGAGCATAATATTAATTTTTGGAATTATCCATCACTTTTATCGATTTTTTTGCAAAGCTTGAGCTACGGGGCTGGGAGTTGACACAGGGGGTAATCGGGCATGTTGATTATTAACACAGCGGGAATAGTGAATTGGCATATAGACGTGGGCACAGGGAAGGCTGTACAGGGATAGGGATGAGAGCTTTATCATAGTGTTTTGACAGGGCGGGACTGAGCCGGGTAAGCCAGCTAGTAGTCCTATAAAAATACCCATAAAAATTAAGTGAATGAAAACCTCGCACTACATTTTGCCAATTACACGGAACTGACCCTTGCTTACAAAAATTTCCAATTTTTCAATGGATTGCGTCTCCACGATAAATGTTCTCATACCAGCACGAGACAAGATTATCCTACTCATTCCTTTACGGTCTTTCATAGCACTTAATAAATTCAGTGATGAAGGAGAAGAGGTGGGGAAGGGGAACGACTAGCAAATCGGTGGGTTTTGGGCTCCGACAACTCAAGTAAAGCGCGTCTGCTCTTGTCTCCTAGATACAAAAAAGAAAGGAGTGGTGAGGGCGCGTGGGATGTAAAATTGGATTTCGTAGATTCTAGAAAATCAAAAAGGGACGTTGTTTTGCAAAATGTTGATTCCAGTTTCGCTGAGCCCTGTGTGTGAATTAGAGCTGTTGGAAACCTTTTCCCAAATTAACCTGGCGTCGTCTTGGCGTGATGGGAGCTAAGCTGGACCCGACTCTTTGGCTGGATTGATACTGTTCCGCAAGTTCTAGAACAGTTAGCACTTCTCGCACCGTGCTGGAACTGCCGGAACTGTGCTGCATGCGCTTCAGCCGCCCGCATGCGGTTTTGAAAGGCGAGAAGTAGCAATTTTGATTTCGTCAGACCTCGCTTCGGGTTTGGAGTTCTCTTCATCACAAAAAGAAGGAAGATGCAAGAACGAGAAGAAACTAGTGAAATATACAGAATTCGTCAATCAAAAACTGCTATTTCGCGCCGCTCAAAACCGCATGGGGGCGGCTGCAGCGCATGCAGCACAGCTCCGGAACTTCCAGCACAGTGCGGAAGCTGTGCTCGAAGTGCTACGGAACTTTTGGACCAGTATGAGTCCAGCCTTTGCTTACAATTTTCCATAACTCTATAACCAAAGCCCTTCTTCTCTGCTTCAATAAATGTCACTTTGAGCTGAGATTCAATTGACGATCGAATTTATCGTAGGCAGATTTCATCCGTGGAAGTTGACCTTGAGGAATTACGATATTTTGTTGATCGGAGATGTAAAGTCGGAGGTTAACGGGACATCGTAACAAACTCGCCAGATCAAAGTATACTTCGTATAAAATTTTTTAGCGTCAGCTCATGTTAAGCACCGCTCCAGCTGTCATGCGTTCAACTTCTCTCTCTCTGCAGAGCAGCTTATGCAATATAAGGTGACGCAAGTGGATGGCAGTGTGTCTCCATTCTCCCTTCAGGCGGAATACAAAATAAAATTTTTAAGTAACAAGGGGTGCGTCTGCCTATAGACAAAACTGCGTACTGTTCGTACCGTTAGAAGCTGCTATACTACGGAAAAGCGCTATTGCTTAGCCTTTCAGAGGCAGTGAAACAGCAGTAAAACATATACATAATGCTAGCTTTCTGTGTCCATGTATCTGCACGAGCGGAGACGAATGGACTACAACAATTGCTAGGCTTAGGATTGGGCCAGACCAGACCGGACTTCGTCTTTGATTTTCTCGAATGCCACCTCGAGCTGTGCCCGGAGTCATCTTTATTATAAAGGGGAGGGGCCTCGCACTGCAATGACTTAGCTGGCCACCAATAAGCACCACATCTCCAGTGAGCAATGGCCCGGGCTGGACTGGGAAACCCACTATTAGCTTGGCTCGAAAGTTCGATATTTCCACTCCCTAGCTGATATTGAAGTAAGTTAGAAGAGCTTAGGGTCAATCTGGGCAGAAATTGCTACTTTTCATTTACCTCGTTTTTTTGTTGTTTAAGCTCAAATTCCATACAAACTGTGCATTCAAGTATGCAAGTAAGTGTATATTATGAATTGGAACATGTGAAGGTTTTCATAACGTTCATAGAGGTGGGAGATCTGGGTTAGGTCAAAGTGCCACGCTTTAGAATTTTCACCTGAGTTTCTAGAGAAGACACTGATAATGCTTGTGGCTTATCAAATTTTTTCGATATCAATTTTCTCTATCTAACGGTGTGCAACATGCCCAATCATTGCTTACATCGAAACTAAAACTTTGTCGAAATGCAATGGCGGAAAACTTTCGAGCTACCTGTAGTTCATCATATTGATGATCTAGCAAGAAGATCATGAAGGCTCGAAATTGTATAACGTACCTCCAAATAACGTACAAACCATCCCACTTCGCAATCGGATATATAGTCGCAAATGCCTCACTTCAGTGAATGATCTGCTCATAAGGGTAGGCATTATCTTGGACTTTTCGCAAGTGGCACATACATATTTAATCAGCTTGAAACGCTGACAAGCATGCTACTTCCAGCTGCTGCGCTTGCTGAAGCGAGTTAGAGTTTTTTACTGTGCGGAATGGGCAGATTACTCAACATGAGAAGACTGCATATAGGTAAAAATCCACCCAAAAGTTGCTGGAATATCGAAACAGTCAATTTGGGTTTCTTCTTACCGAAGGAACTTGACACAAGTGAACTAGCACTTAGATGATTATGCCATGATGGCACTAGGTCGATGACTATGCACATTTTGCACAGGGAAAAATGTCTCTTTTCAAAAGGCTGACCTGAGTTAGGTGCTTCCCTTTTAGAAGACAAGGCGCTACATGATAGTTAGTCATCTTCTCAGAATTGCATGGACAAACCACGGCTATGCTCCACTCGTGGACCCTCGCCTATTAATCCATTGACGACGATGTGGACCACCGGTGGCCTACGCGCTTTTTGCTGTCAGGGACGATGTGGACCCCCGGTGGCCCACACCTGTCGCAAAGTCGTATTATTTGCAGGTCTAGTATTTTTCCACATATAAATATTTTTTCCAATTTTTTGTATTCTTAGGACCTATAGGCTGTCGTTCAAGAAAATGTTAATAGTTGTTTACAAAACAATGTTGCATTTCGTAAATAAGCACGAAACCTTCCCACACTGAAAGTGTTGTGCAAAATCGCGTCGTCCCACAGCGCCGCCGCGCAAAATTAGGTGTCGTCGTCAATGGGTTAAAAGCAATTATTTAATTGAATGGGTATGTTGTGTCTGTAAACACATTTGGGAGGCCCTTTAATCTGCAGAGAATTGATTCGGCTGTTTCTCCAACTTTCCTTAAGAGTCGGAGAACAATGGCGGAATTTAAAGGATGAGTGTTTGCCCGTGGACTGTGTCAGTGATTAGACGCAGTTTGCGTTTCGTCGGTTCGGCCTCTAAGGATGCTTAATCAAAAGGTGGCAGATCGAGTACCTAAGCACAGGGCGTACTTCACGCTTTTCTACTCGCCAAGCAATCTAACCATGTGTTAGATGCCTTCAAGTCCACCACTGGCAGATGCATAGGGTGTCAAATTCGTTGATCAATGAATGTGATAAAATCCTCTATCTCCTCTACATCCATAATGTGCTCGTGAATAGATCCAACCACTTAGAGGCAACGTCCGGGCAAATCTCTGCCTCTCATGTTTTTGTCATTCTGGGGCCTTTCCGTGTCCCTGGTTACAGTTATAAAGTTCAAATTGTCCAAAACCCTCAGGAACCCGTTTTCTGGAAACCCTGTTTTGAGGGCGCGGATAAGTTTCGGATTTTTCATCTCCTCGGCTTGCCAGCGAAGAGTAGTGCAATTGTATGGGTGCAGTTGCGTTCTTGCGTGAGCACTCGTCCTCCGCGGGAGGATTCTGATCCAGGGGCGGTTTGTGATACGTATCACAGGCTCGTATCTCCTTTTAGGGCCGCATGCACTAACCTCCCCGCTGGGGAGGGGATCGCAGCTTAAAAGAAAGCTTTATATTTCGAAACCCAGATACCTGGATTTCACGTTGTGTACCTATCCGTAAGTATTCCTACTACCCTTCACTATGAACATGTTGAAGAGGAGCGAGAAGCTGTACGAACCGCATTTTCCAGCTTTGTATTATCCCTGATGATCCCCGGCGCTTTTCTTTAAAGTCATTTTTCTTTCTCCGAAGTTAACGAAAACCTTCCAAAGTTGTACTGAACATCTAACACAACAGTGCTAAGCATGTTGCTGATGAGAACAAATGAGTTTTTGAAAAGTCGAATTTTTCGGTAAACCTCAAATTTCGACCTGTGGATCATCGAAAATTTCATGACTTCAAAACATCATTTGTTCTTATCAGCAACATGCTTAACACTGTCGGGTTAGATAACCTGCACAACTTTGGAGGTTATTCGTTAACTTCGGAGAAAGAAAAATGACTTTAAAGAAAAGTGCCGGGAATCATCAGGGATCATACAAAAGCTGGAAAATGCGGTTCGTACAGCTTCTCGCTCCTGTTCAAAATGTTCATAGTGAAGGGTAGTAGGAATACTTACGGATAGGTACACCACGTGAAATCCAGGTATCTGGAGTTTTGAGATATAAAGCTTTCTTTTAAGCTGCGATCCCCTCCCCGCGGGGATGTTAGTGCATGCGGCCCTTAGAGGCCACATCAAAGGATCGGACCATCGGGTAGTCTTGGGGCCCGCTCTACAACTACTATATATGCTAATCTGGGTGGATGGATCTTGGGTGTACGCTGCCTTTAAGCCATCGCATTGCGTTGGAAATTAAAGCATGCTCGGAGCTTTATGCGCAATGATGACTGAAGGCGACTGCGGGCAGAGCAGTCACCATTCACGTGTACTCAACCAAATGACATGTTCATAGCATTGTTATGATGAAAATGTAGCAAACAAATGTTGGTTGAAAGTTTCGGGAAGCGCTCTTATGTGCTCAGCGATCGCATTTGAAACGAAGAAAATCATGATTAAAATAATATTAGTAAATTGCTTCAGATGTTCAGTGGAATCGAGATGCTCTTTCCACTACAGTACAGAAGCTGGTGACCTCTTGCGACGTAAGTTCCAAAATAATGTTATATGCAGTTGATTGACTAAGAATCCTCCATCTATGTTGGTTTTCCATCCCAGAACGAAATAAAAAATCAAAGTAAATGGCGTCATGACTTCTTTATCAGACGCATGACTATTGGTTTCACCGCATTACTCTTCATAAATTATGATATTTCAGGCTGATCAATGCAGTAAATTAGATAATGCCTCCTGCACTGCTAACGTATCAATTATGGAAGACTTGAGAAAATTATTTTCTCAGGTCAGACTTGCACTCTAATATTTGTGCGGCAAGCATATCAAATTTGTTAGCATTTGAAAGCTGTGAAAGGCTACATTGAATATAACCGCAATCTAGGATCGACAACAATCCTGTGAGGACAAAGGTTTGCTGCTGCAGATGTTCAACGCTTTGGAGGGGTACAGAGCAATTGACGGCGTTCAATATGTTAGTATCTTTGCCACATAGAACTATGTGATGTTCAAAGTAATGTGACTCTTGCGCAGGTCATGGATTTAGAAACTCTCGAGCAGCAATCAGTTTCACAGAGGACTTGTTTGCTTGGAATTGCTAACTGGATGATGAGCAATAAATATTTTGCCATGCTTCCGCTACAAGAGAAGGTTTGAATACTTGTCTTCAAACTTGGATTTAATCGCATCAATAAGTTTTAAAGAAGCTTTTGTTCGACGGGACATGGAAACAGTGGCTAACATTTGAACGAGCACAAATGTGTGTGCAAGTGCATGGAGAAATCATTCAAAAACATGTAAGTTCAAGTACTGTGTATTAAAGTAGTGCCCATTTTTACTGAGTTGGAGGCACGGCTCTCAGCAGCACACAACGGATAATTCCTACAATGTATAAAGACTGTATGCAGGCGAACTTTCATTTTAGTAATTTTCAAATCCCCGAATCCTGCCACCTGAGTATTTGAGTAGGTTGATCTTGAGATGAGTGAAACTGATAAAAAAATCATAATAGACTAAGACTAGATTTCCCTAAGCCCTAAAGCATACCTTACGCGATTTCAGTCGCCGCGCGATCTGGCACTGCAACGACTCTTCACAACTGCTCGTAAGCGTGGTTTGCTTAGGCCAAACTTCATGCTTTTGCAACAACTCACAGAAGCTATGTGCCTGTGCAGTTGAAACCGGCACACGGTGAATCTGCAGATATCTGGCGAATCGCCAAATCGCGTTGATGTAGCGATTTGACGAAATCGCGAGAAGTATGCCTTAGGCCTAAGACTTATAGTATAAGACCACTGACGATGCATATGATTTTATCTTGACATATTTGATGTTTTTTTTCATAACGTTCCTTTGGCGCATCAATGGATGCATTCAATGAATAAAAAAATATTAGGTTGGTGCATAATTCCTGCAATAAAATAGGTACAGACCGCAATAATCCGGAATAATCCTATAACCCAAATGGAATTTGATACATCATTAGATAGAGCAAATCTAGCTCTACAAGATAGTGCTCAAAGTTTTGCAGCAGCTTTGATCCAATCGAAGATTGAAGCCAAAAACCAAAAAGATCCAAGCGCTCCAAAAAACCAAGAAAAAAATGGAAGTCCGTTTAGAAAAATCCATCAAAATTCCACACTTGCTCATGCATTGTCATTTCGTATAAGACATTTCTCTATGCAATTGCCGTATTTTTCTCTCAGCTAGAAATTAAGAAAACGAAGTTTTCCATGTTTTTTTTTCCAAAAACCATGCTGAGATGTTCTAGCACTGGCAGTTGTAAACAAAAGCATAGGTGCGATAGTGTGAGAATTTTCTCACCCCCTCTTCACCCTTGAGCCTGGACCAAGGTGACCCCCTTCACCAAAAGCCGAGAAAAAAATCAACAGTGAGGTAAGGTTAAGCAAAGGAAATATTTGTACGTGAATTGTTTATGTGCAGGAATGGAGGAGTCTGTTGAAAAAAGTGCTTGATGACGGGTGTGAGTAGCGATTTCAGGACATTTTGGAGTTTTTAACATAAAATTCATATCTTTTGTAGATGAACATCTTTTGCGGCGAAATGGTCACCGTTGGAACCGCCTCGTCCTCCGCTTTCTGAATGCATACAGCATATCTGAGATCCATTCAAGAAAGTGCGGTGAAGGGTGTGCTTAGTGATTTCTGGAGATTTTCGAGTTTTTAACACGAAAAAAAATTCATTGCTTTCGTAGATGAACATCTTGTACGCCGTGATTGTCACCATTGAAACCGTCTCGTCCCCCGCTTTTACAAAATATATACTTTGCCTGGGTCCGTTAGAAAAAGTGCCGCGTGAAGGGGGGGGGGGGAAGACTTTTACAATATAATGGGGGTGCTCAAGTAGACGTCTTTTCACAATGGTAAGAAAGCCTGTACTTGAGCACTCCAATTATAAAAGTCTCACCCACCCTTCACCCGGCACTTTTTCTAATGGACCCCAGGCAAAGTATATACTCTGAAGCGGAGGACGAGGCGGTTCCAATGGTGACCATCGCGGCGTACAAGATGTTCATCCACAAAAGTTATGAGTTTTTTTGTGTTAAAAACTCGAAAATCTCCAGAAATCACTAGGACACCCTTCACCCAGGCACTATTTTTAACGGACTCCAGGCAAAGTATATAATTTCTGAAAGCGGAGGGCGAGACGGTTCCAATAATGACCGGCGCGGCGTACATGATGTTCATCTTCAGAGGTTACGGATTTTTCGGATGGAACAAACCTTTTTAAGAGATCTTGGTAGCGTTCGATGCAGAATTTCATTCTCTTTCTAATGGTTGTAAAATTGTTGCAAAACAGTCAATGAGCTTTCAGAAAATAACCAAAGTCTGCGACCCATGCTTTTTGAGATGGTCAAGTTTCACGATTTTTTAAAACTTTTATATCAATCCTCATAAAGGAGTTCAAGTAACGATTCGATAGGGTAAACCTCATAGAATACAGTGCAACTTTTTTCTTTTTTCCATAGCTTGTCATACATTTTTAATAGAATTTTAACTGATGCTATCAATTTCCATATTTGGACAGCTAAATCCTCGTAGAACATCAAAGGAAGAGCAGCTCGGGTGCTATTTGATGCAACATTTTCTCCTCTTTCTAATGGGTGTTTTTTGTTTCCGATTCGTTTAGTTTTCGGGGATAAAATCATCACAATTCATTTTTTAAGGAGCCCCAGGCTGTACCCGGAAAACTCGAAATCTGATATTTCGAATCCGTAAACTCTCATTTGCTTTATAAATTCAATATTAAGTCACATATCATCTTGAAAGCTTGAAATTCCGAATAACTACTGATGTTTGGTGCGGTTGTGGCTGAGGTGGGACTGCCAAAATCCGATGGCTTTGTTAAAAAATCTTTTAAAAAATTACGGCGAGCTAAAAGAAAGAGAAAAAAGAAGTACTGTATTCTTTGAGGTTTACTCTATCGAATCGTTACTTGGACTCCTTCTGAGGATTGATATGAAAGTTTTAAAAAATCGTGAAACTTGACCATCTCAAAAAGCATGGGTCGCAGATTTTGGTTATTTTTTGAAAGCTCATTGACTGTTTTGCAACAGTTTTATAACCGTTAGAAAGAGAATGAAATTCTGCATCGAACGCTACCAAGATCTCTTAGAAAGGTTTGTTCCATCGACTGTGGCAACCGTTTGAAAAAAGCGAAAATACTTTCGGGACGACCTAATATATTGTCTAAAAGCGGAAGACAAGATGGTTTTAAAAACATTTTTCTTGCTGACGTTGCTGTTCATCCACAGAAATTACGAATTTCTATTTTTAAAAAAATTTCTAGATGTTTAAAAATTGTCTAACTCTTTCCGAAACAAATGTTCACGAAACAAATGCACATCTTCTATGGTAATTTCAAAAACAGGCAGGGTGATGTAAAAAAGAAAAAGGAAATGTTTTAAAAAATACAAGGAGCTGGTCAGAAATATAATTGTGTGCTAATCCAGCAGCACATCGGTTCACATTTCAGAAAAAAAGATAACCAGTGATGGTAAGGAATAAATTATGAACTTCGACTAGAAAAAAGGATGAGAAAACACCATGGCTCCCCCCCCCCCCCCCGTCGACATTTTATAATTTCTCTACCAAGTGAAACACCCTTCACCCTGGAAGAGCTGCGACCACTCTGACCCAGGGCTCAGCACAGCTGGCACCGGGTCAAGCTGGATATCGTTTTTAGGGCGGAAAGCAAAGGGGATATCGTTTCCACAGGGGCCGAGGCGGAGAACTGCCGCAAAAATGCCGCCGGCATGCCACCGGCATGCCATTGGCAAGCTGTCCATCAACAAACAAAGGCGTTGTTTTCAGCCAAAACGCAATAGTATGACACCAAATTTGGTGTGTGCATGCGCGTTGGTGGACCGGAACTACAGGCCAAAATTTTATGAAAACTTATGTGAATGAAAGCTGTGCCCAACTTTTTTCTGAATTAGCTGGCACCGTGCCAGCTGGGTGCCAGCTGAGCTGGCACCGACACTTTGCTCACATAAGTTTTCATACTTTTTCACATAAAATGTATCTACACTGTAAAAGATTACATACGGAGAAGAAACAGTTTCATAATGTTCTCTTTTCAGCGTTTTATAGCAATTTGAAAACCACTTGGCCCGCTCCGCAGTCGAAAAATCGGCTTTTTCTGCTTCTCAATATTGATTCGACCACTTAAAAAGCTCAGAAAGTTGTGAAAAGTTCTTTCATGAATCAGAAATGAACACTACTACATTTTTTACATAATATAAAAAATGATGACGGGTTTTTAAAACAGGTCAAAAGGGACTTCGTACGAAATTTTCGATATCAAACGGGACTTCGTTTTGAAATTTCCCTGGTGCCAGCTCGTGCCGAGCCCTGCTCTGACCCCCTTCACCCTGGAGGACTCATTCTCACCTTATCGCACTTGTATACTACAGGACCTCAGAAGCGTGAGTATGAATTTTCAGCTTTTTGCAGCAGCTGATTTACGAGAAATATCGAATTTTTAGCAACTGGGCAAGAAAAGTTCGGATAAGGAGAGCTAGCTTCGTCATTTCTCATAAACTAGCCGCTCTAGAAGGCTGAAAATGTAAAGGTTTACTGCTAACGGCATGTACTATACTGTACTATACAACTGTTAGTGCTAGAACATCTCAGCACTAATTTGGCAAAAATATGAAAAACTTCGTTTTCTCATCTTCTAGCTGAGAAAAAAAATCAGCAACTGCGTACATAAATGTCTTACGTGGAACGCCTACGCGTGAGCAACCTTCGTAGGAGTTTTTTTGAACGGAGTGATAATCAGGGTAAAGCGGGGGGTGCGGCACTCGACCGTCGGATACGACCCCCCCCCCTGATTGCTGTCTTAATAAGACCCCCCTCCTAAACTATACACTTAAGATAGTATTACCTGAAGGCTCTGTCAAACATAATGGACAACATATCCATAATTAGCATGTCAAATACCCCCTGTAGACAAAGTGTGAGCGAATTCTGAAGATTCAAGATACTAGGCTACCTAAGTGAAATGGTCAAATTCCAACATGGTTAACTTTGTTTTAAAGGTGAATTAGCTATCCGTTTTTGCACTCAAGACAAAGCACTACTCCTTCTTTGTCCACCTCAGGAATCCCGCTTCAGAAGACCTCCAAACTGTGGAATTAGAAGCCAACCAAAATCTCATTTTTCCCATTTTTCGCTTTTGATGGCTGTGCTTTCACCAAATATTACTCAGAGCTAAGAAGACGAATCAGGCTCAAAACATCCCTATGGAATCTACGAGGTTTAGGCTATCGATT